CAAATTCCTGGGTCTGTGGTCCTTCCCTGGCACACGTGTATCTCACAAATATTCCTATACAAGACACTCCTAATCCCCAGTGTTTAATCTGCCCATTCCATATGAATATCATATTCCTTTTTTTACTAGTAGTTCTTCACAAGACAAACCATGCGTCACGGGACAGCTTTGGAAAAAATTTTTTTCCTTACCAGATGAAATCCTGTGATATTTTGAAAGTCCTTCTTGAGTCTTAATAAAATAGTAATGCATAATGAGGTACACAAACATCAACCAAACACTGAACGTAGCCCCTGCAGCTCACCTGAAGTAGCAAACCTTGAGCAGCAAAATTGAAGGCAATGTTTTCACGTTCTACTGCAGCATAATGACCACTGCTGACACTGAACTCTGTCAGCAGCCATTTCCATCTCACCAGTGATGAATCCCACCAGCAGTTAAGTTGCACGGTCCTTTTCATCCACTCTTTCATTCTTGTCAGTTTTTTAGAGCTTAGTGAAAATAAGACAAAAAATTTACATGAGAATCTCTCTGAGGTGCACATGTTGGCCAAGGAGCAGCTAATTAGATGTGACTGAAGTTAATTCTGTTTAACACTCATCAGCTAGACACCATGAGAGGGAATATGACAAAGCCTTTAGTGCAGGAGCAGTTCCTCAGTATCGGTAGGTGCCATCACTGCATCACCCATGGGCTTCACCATCATCTCTTAGATAACTCACCCATTTAACCAAAGTCAACAGCAGCATAAAGGTCATTATCCTTTGGTTCGAAATGCTATGCAGCTGCAAAAATTAACACACACACAGAGGATATGTGCACAGCCCCAGATCCCACAGTGCTCTTCTGCAGCGCTGCATGTGGAAAACCACTTCTGAAGAAGTGTTGCAGTGGTTCTTGGTCTTTCAGCAGCCACAGTTCTGCTCCCTGCTGTCAGAGTGTCAGGAGTGCCCCCTGCTTCCCTGTGCAGCTGCAGCACACTGTCAGTAGGCTGGAAAGCAACTGGCGACACTGGATGCCCTGCTGCTGCTATTAGCTTTGAAACAGCAGTGAGGCATTTTGTAGCAGGAAGGAAAAGGGTGAGGAGATGCTCCTCTAAGGCCAGTGGGGACTGGCTTCAACGGAAAGGTAATGTATCTGCTGCTCCAAAGCTCCATATCTCACTAAAAATAGTGGCAGCAGTCTGTTCCTCTCTGCTCCTCCCTTCCCTTTTACAGGAAGCTTGGCTTCACCACATCACCACATTCTGGAGAGAGGGAAGGAGGTATCCATCCTGGGAGGCACACAGTTTACATTTCTTCCTGCAGAGAAGGAAAGGTTGGTCCTCTGTTATTCTCTAGGACACAATTCACAATTCCTTGCAAACACTGCGCGTCTCACATCCTCCTGCCTGCTCTTACATTATCACTGCTGGGATGAGACACAGCTGGCTAAGGGAGGGCTGGGCTGGGGACCGGCTCTGCACTGAGAGGTAAGAAGCAGGATGGAGGCACTTGCTGGGCACCAGAGCTCGCACCAGAGGAAGCGGTTTGTGCTCTGGGGTTCCTTCTCCAAACACAAAGAGTAACATTTTGTCAGAGCTCAGCACCCTGAGGTTTGCAACACAGTTATTATCCACCACAGGCAGTCGAGATGGACTATTGTTAAAAGTTTATAAAGGAGAATCTCAGCCAAAACGAGTAATTTTCCAGAGTACCAGAGTGAACCTGGAGCAGGGGAGGGACTGAGGCACCTCGGGGCTGCTGCTGAGCCGGAAGAGCTGGAGGGATGAGCTGTGCTCTTCCAGACAGCCACAGATGTTAGCAAGTGTCATTTGTTGCCTGTGGTTACTTTGGCATCTAATAACATCAAGGAGGGTAAAAAAGTTCATTGTTCCTAGGTGGGTCGATTTCTTTCTTTATGCTGTATCTTCCACTTGAAAATTGCAAGCATTTCGTGTCTGTCAAGGACACATCATATTCTCACAGCTAGGAGTGTAAGCAGCAGCATCTGATAAACCAGTGAAGCACGAGACAATTAAACAGATCACCCAGGAAGAGAGATAGAAACACAGATTGGTGTACATCATTCAACAGTTTTTATTATCCTTAGTCACTTATTGCGACAGCAAAAAGTCTCAGTCTACCCTGACATCATATAAACTCAAACTCTGCCCAAGGCTAAACTAAACCAAAAAAGCTCTGGCCCTCATTGATTTTGTATAATTTTCCATTTTTACCCTTGTTGAAATGGATACAGAAGTGTTAATGCAATAAGACAAAGGCTCATCTTGCAGCTATTTTTGGCTGCATGCAGAAGGAACTGTAGAGAGGTGTGAAAATTGAAAGAATACGAAAGCAAAACACAAATGCACAGAGGCAAATATGATCAGTGCATAAAATAGCAATAGCTTAAAAAATTGTATTAATTTTCTGTGTCTCTCAAATTGAAAAACTATATTCTAAATCTGAAATAACCATGAACTCAGAGAAATATGAAACAGTAAGATTATAACCCAAGCACAGTAAGTCCACAGCCACAGGAGAACTTTGGCACAATGTATTTGTTGTGATCAAGCAGTGTCCTTCACCCCACTCACCACTGCTTATCTACCATGTGGTGGGACTTCTTCGTCCTTTCTTTGCAAGGTTTTGAAATCCTGAGATGAGAATTTAAGGTGGGTGATTTCATCTCCTCCTGAATGAGATGAATGCTTTAAAAGAGATATTCATGTTTGGGGACTTGTCTGCTCCCTGTCCTTGAGTTATGCACCTATCCTTGTCCAACACCAGTCACTGAGGACTGAGAAGTGGCAGTAATGGCTGACCTATTTCCTTCCTTTGTACCCCTTAGAGACTCAATTTGATTATTTGGGTGGGTGTGGGGATATGTATGAAAAAATGAGACAGATCCAGGGGAACCCACTGTGAGAGGGCCAAACCGGGGAGAGAGGTTTTATGTTGAGTTGAAGCACATAGTTCTCCTGGCCTTACTATCACTACTACCACTATCTGGGAAAGTGAAGTCCTTCATCTTTCTTAGCCTTCCCTCCCTGGCTAGCTCTTTTCCTGGACCGGAGTGTGCAGTCCTGGGAGATTTCTTCATTTCCACTTCAATTGTTCAGCAGGTTAAAGCTGTTGAATGAGTAGCTCACCTGCATGCAATCCACTGGAAGAGTTTTGAGACTGTGAATCAGCCAGGTACTACCACAGACCCCAGACTGACGATCTTGAGAGCTGGTGTTTGTATTTCCAGCAGGTCCTGGAGCTATGCATACCACATGTGGCCAACATTTGCTATCTATCAAAGGAGAGATGCGTTAGTAATTCCAACAAATGTATGAGGTAGAACATTGCCGGGAGGAGGGAGCCCAATTGCTGTGTTCTTTCAAGACAGCGCATTTGTAAAAATAAATCTCCATTCAGTTCAATTACAATCAATTATCACTATCTTCAAAACCAGATCTGTTAGCTGTGAATCTGATTTAACTTACTGAAGCACACTGGAACCTCTACCATTCTGGAAGAAAAAGGAGGTTATCTCTACCTTCTCCTCTGTAGCAGTCAAAAGGATTATGAACCATGCTTAATGGAAGCAGTTTTCCTCCCTCCATCCATAGCTTTTCAAGACTAGCAACATCTCTTCTGGTTTGGAAAAACTACTGCTTGTATTCCTGGGATAGCAGCCTGTCTTCAAGGCATCATGGCAGCCTGACCTGGTGGGTGGGAATCCTGTTTGCAACAAGTGGTGGGAACGAGATAATCTTTAAGGTCCTTTCCAACCCAAGCCAATCTATGATCATTGCTTTCAGTTGCACACACAACTAGCTTTTAAAGCCAAAATATGTTTTAGCTGCTCTTTTTTCACCCCTTGTACTATTAAAATACTAACTTGGACAAAGAAAACTGCTCTAGTAAATGAAGGTGTGCCAGACTATCATGTGTACCCTCTGAGCCCCACAGGCCAAGAGAGCTCCACAGCTGTCCACAAGAAGGTGGTCACAATTTCGTGCTTATCAGCTCACTTTAGAGCCCAAAGCACAGCATTTCCCTTTATAGCAGCTCAGTTTAACACAAGAGACTGCTGGAATCAGATAGCTTTTTGATCCACAAAGCAGAGCTGTAACTTACATCTTGTTCTGTTTTTCCTTCTTATCGCCAGCGTTGTCAGGAGTCTCTTGATTCATTATTGTGGCAATGGAAACACTGAGGCAGCACCACGGGTGCGTGTGGAAGATGCAGCATTACTGACCCGCTCTTCCAGGACACTGCGGGTGTCCCAGGAGATTACACTGCTGCTTACATAGCTGCTGGGCAGCTCTGGGTCCACAGAACAGGCTCCAGAGTAATTTAAGCGGGAGGGAGTGGAGAGAACAGAGCACGGGGGAACAGGTTTTGTGGGAAAGCAAACACACATAACCTTACACAACCTGATTTTTGAAGCAATCTAGAATAACCCACATGCAAGTAGGTCTCAGCCAGTGCCCGTGACCCCATACATACCGTCACAGCTTGAAGGAGCTGCGGAAGTGCAAAGTTGCCTCTGAACACTTCCTCCCTTCGCTGGGAGCCAGAACCCTGCAGCCTCCCGTCCCTGCTGCTGGAAATGACAGCACAGCAATGAGACCCGGGGTCACACACAGCCTGTAACAAAGCCAGCTACGTACCATGGCCAAGCGCTGGAAATCCAGTGGGAACCTGTGTCAGATACTTGCACTAACCTCAACCCTAACCCACGCGATTTGCTGCAGCACACACTTAAAACTAAATCCCACAACACAGACTGGTGGCAAAGAAAAAAACTCTCACAGCAACTTGTCCCTGGAGGAGGACTTGGCAGCAGCAGGAGCACGGTGCGGGCCCAGCACACAGCCCTGGTGCAAATGGCTGGCGGTGCTGCAGCTCTGCTGGACACATGGGTCCTCCCAGAGAAGCTGAGGAAAAGCTCCTGTAGACACTTTGCTCAGTCCCACTCCTTGAAATCTATTCGAGATAGTGAACAAACACGGAAACATTTCCAGGAAATGTGTTTCTTTATTTAAATAAAAATGAGTGCCAGTAGAAACAATAAACTTTAAATACGTGAGACAATTATATACAACTCAACGTCAGGAATTATATACATCAGGTTTTTACAGATACAAATACATTTATAATGAAGTAGAAGGACGAAGGAGGAAGCAATGGAAAATGTGACAACTCACGCATGTCAGTCTCGTTTGGAAAGTTTCAGGATTCAAGTGATTCCAGGCAAAATGCCAAACTGAATTTGGCTTCTTTCAAACTTAAAACAACCCCTTTTGGAGTAAATCTACCAAAAAGCTTTATATGGTCTGATCCAAAGTTCACTGAAGTCAATGGAAAAACTCCCGCTGCCTTCAGACTGAACTGGAGCAGGACCCCTTGGAGCACAACGCAGTCGTTGTTCTGCTGCCTGGGACACCTCTGGGCTGCAGCACCTCCGCTCCAGCCCTGCATGCTGCTCTGCTCCAGACAACAGCAGCCTCCCCAACCCGGCTCCTTCCCGCTGTTCTGCACTCCTATTTTTCAAGCTGTCCCTCAAACTCTAATGCCAGTGGACATATCGCAGAGCTATTTTAACACGGGAAATATGTGGAGATGTTTTACAAGCATTTTGCTGTGCAACGCTGAAGTCTCAGGCTCTCTAGCCCTCATGCTTCAGAACTATTCTAACCATTGTAATAAGTTATTATAAAATATAAGGTATGATTGAAATAATCATACATTGCCACAACATCAACATTACTCCTTTTAACAGTGCAATGATTTAGCAACTAAGTTCATGAGCATTTGAAAAACCACAGTGCTATTAAATTAGAGGGGGGCTGTTCATGGTGGTTTTAAAAACTAGTTACTAATGCCTAATGCATGTGTTACATGCGAGCTGGAAAAAAAATAAAGACGTAATGCAACGTTTATCTACGCTGGTTTAAATAGAGCAGAAAAGCTGGATTATGTAGTGATGTAAATGGATACAGTTTTACTGACCTCAAATGGAGAATGTGACTCCAGCAGAGAAGCACAACTTCTTGTGCCTGTTACCTGAAGTCAGTAGGGCTCTGCTGGTGACTTCAGTGAGGCCAGGATCTCACCTTTGCTAGGTGAATTCATTCTAAGTTCCACCCATTTTCAAGGGGCGTAACAGAGCAGCATTTGTTCAAGCCTTCCTAGATCTTGCACCTTGTAACAGAGATTTTTCAGGTGCTTTTTTAACTTACGGATCTTTGGTTTTAGTGATCAAATATACATGTCATTGAAGAATACAAAAGCAAAACTCAAGACCACTTTTCCTACTGTTAGTTCAGCCAAAGGCTGGATTGCAGCAGCAGTTGGCATACCTGACCCAGCCAGCACAGGTACAACTTCAGCAAAGACAAATGGAGCAATATGGATCTGAACCCATCTGTACAAACCTTCTGGAAACATAGAGCCTCCCTTGCTTCTTGTTTCCATCTTTCATTCTCTCTGTGCCTAAGGTCAGTCTCCAGCCACACTGCAATCTCCCTCCAACACCATCATCCACAAAGGTTTGGCCTTTGAGGTCTCACTGAGCAAATCTGCTGATGGCTGTAGTTTGTTATAAGAAAAACACAGTGGAAGTACTTCTAGACTATCACAGCTTTGTGTGAATGAGCATCACCCATCAGCTTTAACAGCCAGGTTCTTGTGCTATCTGCAACATGCAGAGACATGCCAGTAATAGTTACCTCATTAGAATATATATATATATATATATATATATATTCTCTTTGCTCTTAGCTCTTATGGTGAGAAATTATAATAGTAAAAATAAAATGAAGCATCCCAATTATGTGCAAGTTAGGTGTTGGAGCTTGGTACCACCGCTTCCTTGTGCTGCCAGTTCTCAGGAATATCGTGGGCCCCAGGGCACAGCTGCTGGTGGAAAGTTCACAGGCAAGCAGGAAGGTAGAACCACAAGTCGTCAGTGGGAGCTCCGCTCGTGCTCTGGCTGCACCCAGGGGAGCCCGGCAGGTGCTAGGAGTTCTTGTGGATGTTCTCCACAGAGCCCTCGCTGCTCTCGTTGAGGAGTTTTTCTGACACTTCCCCCAGCTCAGCATCCAGCACCTCCTCCTGGATGGTGAAGTGCACATCTGGGGAGGAGGATTCTGAGCTGACGCTGCTGCCTTCCATTGAGCAGATGGCACAGGATAGGGAGGGCACCATGCTCTCCTGCAACATGTTCAGCATCATGGGGATCTGGACAGACTTCAGCCCTGATATGGTTGGTAGAGGCTTCACAGCTTCTCCCCATTCTCTCTCCTCATCTTTGTAGAGCAGAAGCAAATTGGATGTCTTCTCTTTCCTTTTTGATTTCATGTAGCCAAGCATGATCCCTATCAGGAAGATCCCATAGAAAGACATGACGATCAAGATGTAAAAATACTCATTGCTGTTATTCTTCTCCGTGCTGTGGGACTCAGTGTTCAGCATGGCTTGGGTGATGTTTGCATGGTCCATCTTCAGCATGGAAACAGTACGACCACAGCTAAAGCCTGGGGAAGAATTGATGTGGAAACAAAGATTAAACCTCAGATCAAAGATTTAAAGAAACATCTAAAGGGATATATCCCCAAGCTATTCTTTATTACTTGTAATTGGAGGCTCACAGGACACATCTGATTGAAGCTCGCTGTCTGCCATGCCTCTGCAGTAATATTGTAGCTGAATGTACGGTTACCCAGATACAGAGAACATTAGAGGAAATGATACTTAATACTAAATCACGGTGAGTGATATTCTGAAGTACAGAACCCCCAAGGCACATAAATAAAGAAAGAAAACTACACAGAAAAATGCTGCTAGACACTTAAACTTAGATTTGTGCTATCTGACCACATTTCCAAAAAGGGGAAAAGCTTCTAAGGAAAAAAATCAAAAAGCAACTTACGTCGGTATGCAAATAATTCTTCCCTGTGCAAAGCTCAAGAGACCTTTCCTCTCCCAAACGCCGGGTGCTCTGAAAACTTTCCTCTGCTGCAGTTGGAATAAATAGCCCTCAAGAAATGTTTCATCACGTGTTTTAGAGGCACAGTTTATAATAGTTTTGTGTTGGAGTCAAAGATGAACTTGAAGGATTGCAGTTCAACCCACTGAACTCTTAACAGCTGTGAAAAGAAAAAGATTTGGGAACTCAGATTTTACTCTTTCCTCCCCAGCTCAGCAGTGGCTCCTTCACCTCTGGATCTGCTCCCTTTCACTGCCACCCCAATGGCTACATTTGAACTGCTACCCTGGGAGCTGCTCTGCAGCGTGACAAAGCAGCAAGCCATTATCCTGTGCTTATCATCTAATATGGAAAATATGCATTTGGGTTTTATAGTGGGTTCTGTTAATTATGTGCTGCTACACAAAAAGTATTCTCTGAAGGGATGGGGGAGGAATTGCCCAGAGAGGTTGTGGATGCCCTGTCCCTGGAGGTGTTCCAAGGTCTAGCATTAAATGGGGAGGTTGGTGGCCCTGCACGTGGCAGAGGGGTTGGAGATTTGTGATCCTTGAGGTCCCTTCCAACCCTGGCCATTCTGTGATTCTGTGATAATATTTTTTTTGCCCAGAACTGGTGACAAAGCCTCACAAAGTGTGTACAGATCAAAGTGGAGACTGAGCTCCTGTCCTGATAGCACAAGGTGCAGGGCTGTGGAGAACTGGAATCTGGGTCAGGGATGAATTTGGGATGGAGGGCTGCCAGTGCTGTCACACTTCATGCATCAAAGCAGCAACGATGGGACTTTGGTTCCTGCCAAGATCGATGGAAAGATGCAGCCTCCTCCAGAGGGCAACTTGGAGCTCAGGTTGGCACTTCCCTTCTCCCTGCATGCAAAGCTGTACGTTTTGCATGCTATTTGTGCTCGTACTGACCAGCACCACTGAGTTAACATGGACAGCAGTGCGATGGAGGCTAACCCCTCTGGGCAGAGGGCTCTGAGTCACACACACACTGCGGGCGCTGCAGCTGGTGCTGGGCTGAGCGGGACGCCCTGCACTCCCCAGAGCGTGAGGATGTGCTGAGTTCCCAGTCATGGGCTCAGTGGCACAGGAGGCTCTGGGACCCCCTGCAACACGTAAGCAGCAGTATAGGCCATGGGAAGAAGGAGGCCCTGCTTGCACCTTGGGGATTTCACTTCCTTATCCCTTGCCATCCCCATTCTTCACACACAAAACCCAATTAGTCAGGCCCCACATATGTGATGTGAATGTCACCCCTTCTGCAAAGCTTCAAGGATGTTTATGTAACAGGACACTCCACTTCCAGAAAACAGTTGACTTTCCCAATGGTAGGTCTGGTTTGTTGGGCTGTTCTGTTTTGCTTTTTTTTTTCTTTACCGTGCAGTCACTCATGGATTCTTTGCATAGATGGCAACTTTTTTTTTCAAAACTGTCCTCACGGCCCCTCTGAGGTAAAGGCAGATAGGATTAAGCTCTCTTCACATGCAGGAAAAGGCAAGAAAGAGAGTTAAGCAACACTTAAATGAAGTTAGGAGTTCAAGAGAAGGCAGAACTCTGTTGAAACCAGCGTTTTCCATTGTTTCTCTGTACTTCACAAAGGAATGAAAAAAAAAATTACATTAGCCAGATTCCCTTCTCTGCCCCCTAAAATACAGGATCCACCCTTTACAGTGTTGGCTTTATCTCCCTGCACATTCCCATGTGATAGCTCAGGAGCTGTTGATGTTGGACTAACGTCTGCTGGGATTTCATCTGACAAAGTCTGTCTGCAGCACCAGCTTGCCAAGTCTGGATTCTTCCCCCCTGTTTCCAACAAATTACTGAACAGGCAGCAAGAACATACAAACTGGTAGGCTGAGGCTCAACCCAAAGCAAGTCTCTGGACTTTCTGGCTAACTTTGGGAATTTTTATTTCACATCTTTCTCAGCTCCATGAGACAGATACTTTCCTAAACAATATGATGGCCATTTACTCTCTTATTCAGCTCCAGAAATTTGGAATTTGAAGAATTAAAGACAATACATCAGACTTTACCAACAGCCTATTACACAAGACATTCACAAAACAGTAAGAAAACACCCAGAACAGATGGGACAATGAAATTTCTTTCAGTACTAGGAGAAACACCTTTTCTTTGCCTATAACAGCCCTGCAGGCCACCTCTGAAGCTACTTCACACTGAGAACAAGAGGGCCTAGAGCCTGTTTCAATGCCGGTGTTACTTAGAACCCATCACTCACCTGAATGTGAGTAGCAGTATGACTTGCCAGGGCACCAACACGCAGCAGGACAACTCACTCTTCTGTATGTCCCATGTTTGCTCCTAGGCTGCAGATTCTTCATACAGGTGAAGCCCTACACAAGAAGAAACGTACCACTCAACAGCAGTACTTGTCAGGTACATCTACACATCCATGCAGTCTCCTGAAGTCCAGCAGAAATATTTAATTGCTTAATTATGCATAGTTATTACTAAGAACTCTTTGCAACTATATTTACTTTGGCTAGCTGATAACAACAGTTATCCATCTGTTAGCCCAAGATACTGAAAAGCATTTCAGTTCTAAAAAGACCTAGAAGGAATCCACCAGCTTTCTTATATAGACAGAGAGGAGGGATAGGAAGACACTGGAGTATAATCATCTGAAAAACATGTCACTTGTATACTGGTGCTCTGTCAGCTTTCTCAATCTGTATTCTTCAGAAAATACATTTCTTTAAAAAGTAAAAGGAAAAAAAAAAAAAAGAGAGACCTAAAGTTGAAAATGGAGGCCTTTTAACTCTGCATTTCTAAATGACTTTTGTTGCAAATTAAGTTACAAATTGCACAGTGTAGAACTATTGATCATGGGAAATTAAACTTGCTTAATTTGAAGTAATTTATTGTTGTTTGAATTTACTATCTATGTCTTGTTGGAGGTTTTCCCTCCTCCTTTTAGATCAAATTTACTTTTTCCAAAGCTCACAGGATTTCCCCCAAAATTTCTTTCAGATCTCTTATGCTTTCAGCAGTTGCTTCTCATGCATTCCTCCTCACCATTTTTGCATCACTCCCCACCCAAGCTATAACATTCAAGAATAAGCCCTGTGGCCTTTGCTCCCACCTTCCAGATTTACCCTTTGGAAACCATTTGGACTAATAAAGCAGAGAAGCAGTTGGGCACTCCAGTAATGAAAAGGTCACAACATTGTTGCCAATGCCAGATTATTTTTCTCAAGGTCTCTGGCTCCTAGAGAGTCTTCTGTGGTAGCAAACTCCGTCACCAAAGGACACAGAAGTTGAAGCTTAAGGCATCCCATGGGGGAGGAATTCTTCACAGCATGGCTTAAGGGACAGCATAATGTGAATCTTTTCTCCAAATAAAAATTTGAGGATGGACAGAAAGTGGAACAAAGACAGAACCCATTATCAAGACAACTTGAAATGTCCTTAGAGACTCAGATGACTTTCTGCAGGCTACCATGGAAAATAGAAGCCTAACCCTTCATTACGGTCATAATCATGGTCTGATGCTGCATTTATCTTGCTTTTTCCACTTACTGAGTTAATAAGACTGAAGATACAAGATACAACCATTAGAGAGCTAGTTCCTATGGGAAGCAGAGCCCATTTCGTAGGTCAAAGGTATGACTCTAAAGAGATTTTGAGCATGTGCAATCTTGGAAATAATCATCTGAAGTTCAACAGCATGGAAAGAAAATAGGAAAGGGAAAAGGGGAAGGACAGATGGACTGTTCTTTTCCTCCTGCATTTTGACTTCTATTTGAAGTAATGGCGTGGCATCTGCTTCTTTCAAGTTCCATGCAACTAGGACAGAATTTTCAGTGAAGCTTATGAGTGTTTTGGAATAAAATAACTAGTTCAAAAACAGCTAGTTGTGTTCTCTTTCTGAGAGAAAGACACAGCAGCCTGACACAAGCCATGTGTGTCCTTGGTAACAAGCTTCCAAGCCTCAGTTCACTCACTTGCAAAATGGATTCAATAATACATACAAATTATATGTGTTGTGAGGGTACAGCATTGTAATGCATTTGCTGATCACTACCTGAGAAGGTAATATCTGTTGTGTGTAAGCACAGCAGCATTACCACACGGCTGGCCTGGCATCTTACACTTCTTACACGGCGCTAGGTTCAGTGTCATCCTCCATCACTCTTCCTCGTTTCTCATGTTACAGAAATAGATGACACTTTGATATACTTCATGCAAGTAATTTATAGAGGAAGGTGGCAATTTCTTAGTGTAATCAGCAAGGCACTGAGTTACCAGCGGGATTCCAAATGGAAACTTAAGGCTGAGTAACCTGGTCTGTTCAGCCTGGGGAAAAGATGATTGAGAGGGCATCCAATTAACGTTTATAAATGTCTGAAGGGAGATGGGAGGCAAATGTATGAGGCCATGCTTTTCTCGGCGGTGTGCAGAGATAGGACAAGGAGAAATGGCCTAAAACTTGTACACAGAAAGTTCCATATTAGCATGCAGAAGAATTTCACACGGTAAGAGTGACAGAGACTGGAACAGGCGGCCCAGAGGGGTGGTGGAGTCTACTCCTCTGGAGATACTCGAGATCCATCTGGATGCCTACCTTTGCATCCTGCTGTAGGGCACCTGCTATAACAAGTGGGCTGGATTCGAATTCTTCAGGTCCCTTCCAACCCCTGCAATTCTGTGATACTGTGAAACAATTCTGCATAGATGTTAAATGTGGAAAATTTAATAAAATGCTGCAGTTTTGCCTTGGTACCTTACAATCTTCAATGGTAGCAACATGCAAGCATAAGTCCAGATGCACAATTCAGCCTTCTCACCAACTTCAGTGTTTGGTTTGCTTAATTCAAGTTTTACTTACAATTCATAGCAGACTCACATACCATGAAACGTCAAGTTTTGCAGGCATTCCCTGCACCCAGAGCAGCAGCAACTCTCATTTTTTATCAATAACAGCAAATACAGCTTCTAAGAAGAACCTCTCAGCCAATGTTGCAGCTTGCCCTAGTGCTTGCAACCCTTGCATGGCAAGGGATAACCCAAACATGACATCTGAATTTTTGCAATTGCCCTCCAAGCACACAACAGAGACCTCTAAGGTAAACTGGCTTCTGATCCTGAAAGATCACAAGCAACAGAAA